CTACCTCCTCTCAGTCTGGGAGCCCACAGGGGAGGGAGGCGACCTGGTCATCAGGGGAAGGAAACAGCCCCATCACACCTCTACTGCTGTTACTGCTGGCAGTGCAAGCCTTGGCCAGCTCTGGTTACCTGAGCCTTGGGTAGCCTTGGGCAGCTGAGCAGCTACTATCCAAGGCTTACCTGCACCTCGATCACACCCTGGGTGGCTAGGCAGCCAACATCCAATGCTTGCCTGCACCTTGAGCCGGCCTTGGGTGACTGGGAGGCTGAGAGGATTGGGGGACTCTGGAGGCAGGTGCGTGGAGCAGCTGACCCTCTGGGGGCAGGCCCAGCCATGCTGCATGCCTGCTGCCCAGTGGAACTGAGGGGACTGGGAGACACCATCTTGTGGCTATGGATGCCACCATCTTTGTTGCCGTGATGGCATATCCCACAGCATATCCCCTCTATTAGATAGGGCAGTGGTCGGCAAACTCATTAATCAACAGAGCCAAATATCAACAGTAGGATTGAAATTTCTTTTTAAAGCCAAATTTCTTAAACTTAAACTTCTTCTAATGCCACTTCTTCAAAATAAGCTCACCCAAGCCGTGGTATTTTGTGGAAGAGCCACACTCAAGAGGCCAAAGAGCTACAGTTTGCCGACCACAGAGATAGGATATAGATTACAAGTGTATATTTGTATGATATGTGATTTTCATATTGTGCTGTCAAATCATCCACAGTTAAATCATCTTCCCTCACCATATATTTGACCCCCTTTACCCTCTACTATCTCCTCTACCCTGCTTCCCTCTGGTAACCACTATAAAGCGTGCTATCTAATTCTATGAGTTTTTGTTTTTCTTGTTTGTTCACTTGTTGCTTTTGGTTTTTATATCCCACATATAAGTGAAATAACATGGTTCTTAACTTTTTTTGATTTATTCTGTTTAGCATGGTATTCTCAATAGCCATTCATGTTGTCACAAATGGTAGTATTTCCTCTTATGGTGGAGTAGTATGGTTGATAGTAGTAGTAGTAAGATTTCCACATCTTCTTTATCCTATCATAGAATCAATTTATACTGGGATTGTGGGAGGGGTGGTGTCATATGACTTTAAATATGTATTTGTTTCTCAATAGAAAAAAAGTATCATGGCTGTTCATTTTATCTCAGGTCAGCTCTATTATATTTTTATGAATTTAACTATTGATATTTTCAAAAAAACAATTAATATGCATACATTAATTTGTATATTTCTCATTCCTAATGTTACATATTTTTCCTCTCCTTTCCATTTTCCTTAGTCTACTTCACCAAAATATATCCTACATTTTTATCAGAAATAAACTTTTGACACTGTGGATCCAGACTATTTTAGCTTAACTTTCTCTTTCATTAATTCTACATCTTCATTTTATCTATATCTTTAAATTTTTAAGGTTATAATTAATATTAAGTTCTAATTTTCAAAACTATTATTTTTTTCTGTTTAGGTATTTGTAATTATAAATTATTCCCTATACCATCTCAATAGCATTTCTTTATTTTATTAATATATTTTATTGATTTTTTACAGAAAGGAATGCAGAAGGATATAGAGTTAGAAATATCGATGAGAGAAATATCTATCAGGTACCTTTTGCACACCCCCTACTGGAGATGTGCCCACAACCAAAGTACATGCTGTTGACCAGAATCGAACCTGGCAACCTTCAGTCCAAAGGAAAATGCTCTATCCACTGAGCCTAACTGATTAGTGTGGGGCTGATTTTTAATTCTTAAACGTGCTCCTGTCAATTTTGTTGAATCACCTGCACATTCTTAAGAAGCATATGCATTAATTTCTGTGGAGACAGACCTGATTTACAGCAGGATTAGCAAAGTTCTGCCTTTATTTCTGGGCATGCCTCCAAGCCTGAATGTGTCTGACTCTTAGTATTAGGTCTAGTAATACTTAATGTCGTTTTCTAATACTTTTTAAAATCGAATTTATTTAAACAATACAACAAAATTTAATCAACAATATAGTTGCTGTTGTTTTCTACTACTTGTGTGCAACGCTCAGGAAGCATTTTAATCCCTCTGTTGTAAAATTCTTGTGATTTTGATGCAAAAAATTCGGTCAATGCATTTTTGAGGCATTCTTCATTATTAAATTTTTTTCCAAGAAGAAAGTTTTGCAAAGAACGAAACAAATGGTAATCAGAATGGGCAATATCAGGAGAATATGAAGGTTGAGGGAGAACTTCCCATTCCAACTAGCGCAGTTTTTCAGCAGTGATTCTTGCAGTATGCGGTCGTGCGTTATCATGGTGAAGAATTACACCCTTCCGATTAATCAGCGCGGGTTCTTTTTCTCTTAAAGCTTGGGCTAACCTTTCCAATTGGGCACTATACACTGCACTTGTAATGGTTTGGTTAGATGGTAAAAGTTCATAATGAAGAATTCCTTTAAAATTCCACCAAACACACAACATCACTTTTTTCGCATGCAAGTCAGGTTTTGGCGTGGGCTGCGGAGCCTCATTTTTGTCCAACCATTGAGGCCGCCTTTTCAAATTAACATACAGCACCCATTCTTCATCTCCGGTAACAATTTGCTCTAAAAACGGCAAACGGTTTTGACGAGAGAGGAGCGAACTGCAAATTGTGACTCTTTGATTACGGTTGTTGTCTGTCAACTCATGAGGGACCCATTTTCCAAACTTTTGGACTTTGCCAAGTGCACGCAACTGATTGGAAATTGTTTTTTGTGAACAATTTAAAGTTGTCGCAAGCTCTTGTTGGGTAATTTGAGGATTTTGCACCAAAAGAGCTTGAAGAGCTTCTTGATCAAAATTGGACACATGGCCTCGACCACTCTTGTCATCTAACGAAAAATTTCCCTCGCGAAATTTCTCAAACCAATGCTGGCATTTTCTGGCACTAACTGCATCTTGACCAAGAGCACTACAGATGTTTTTTGCAGCCTCACTTGCTTTTCTTCCTAATTGGAACTCGTAAAGCATGCAGTGCCGAATATGCTCTTCATCCGCCATCTTCTTAGCCCTAGTTTTGCAACAAAAACCAAACCAAACACAAACTTTTTCAAGCAAAACTTGTTAATTGCACTTCACACGTTCTGTAGATACCACGTGTTTGAAGGTTATGTCAATACAAGTCAACGCCAAGCAAGATTTTAAACGAATGTTTAAAAACGACGTTAATTATTACTAGACCCTAAAAAGGACTGTGAGATTAGTAATGCAAACCTCCCTGGCTAAAGTTAGCTTTTCCTTGTGTTTCCCTAGCTATCTAGACAGGACTGGCTTGGTTTCCTGGTGACTGGAAGCTTTCTAAGGAGTAGTGTCTCAAGGCAAAAGTCCTCCCCCTCCCCTCCAGGTCTGTTATTCTAAACCAGAGACTCAGCATGTTTCAGGAGCAGAGATTGGGTTCCTGGGGAGCTGACTGTGGATGTTTCTTGGATCCTGATATTTGCCTGAATTCTCTTTATCCTGCTATAACAGATGCTTTGCCCTTAAAAAAGCCTCATGTGGGATACACTGTGGGGTCTAATGAGTCCTCACCAACAGCAGAAAGGGGAAACCAGTGCATTCATTCAATGGGATCATTCAATTAAAATATGCCCATTAAATAAAATATTTTTGTTCTTCAAGTGTTCTTTATATCTTTATGATTTGTCCACCACCATATGAAAAACAACAACAACACATTTTCTCTCTTTTCTCTCAATTATTAGTTTTCAATTAAAGTTGATATTCAATATTATATTAGCTCCAGGTGTGCACCATGGTGATTACATATGTATATAATTTAGGAAGTGATCCCCTGGATATGTCTGGTAACCACTTGGCAGCATACATAGTTACTATGATATTATTGACTATATTCCTTATGCTGTATTTTATATGCCCATGAATATATTGTAAGAACCATTTTGTATTTCTTAATACCTTCACCATTGTCACCCAGCCTCACCTCAACCACCCTTATATCTGACAACCATCAGTTTGTTCTCTTATCTATGAGTCTATGTTTATGTTTTATTTCTTCATTTATTTTGTTCTTTAGATCGCACATATAGGTGAAGTAATACGGTATTTGTCTTTGTAGCGTTATTCATAATAGCCAAGATATGGCGGCAACCTAAATTTCCATTAATAGACGAATGGGTAAAGAAGATGTGGCACATACTATGTAATGGAATATTACTCAAACATTAAAAGGAATGAAATCTTACCATTTGCAACAACATGGATGAACTTAGAGGGTACTATGCTTAGTGGAAAACATTTTTTGGATTCATTATGAAAATGAATTTGAAAATGTCTCCCTCTAGTGCTATAAGATTTTATTTTACATGTGCAGAGGGCATTTATTTCAAGTTTTACAAATTTATAATTGTTAAATGTGCTTAGTGAACTGAATATTTAAAAATACCTATCCATCATAATGTTGGGTGTGTTGAGTGTGTGTATTAACTGTGTTTGGGTGTACTAAATGCTTTCCTTTCTCTTTATGCTGTTCTTGTGGATACTCATGTTTTCTTTTTGTTCCCATTATCCCGGTATGTGTGACACTCTTCTAAGATTTTTAACCTCTCAGGATACTTATGTTTTCGATGTAATAGCTTTTAGAAACTCATAATCACTGGAATTTTGGGGGGAAGTGCCATAAAGTGAGACAGTCAGATAGACCATTCAGTCTGTAAAACCTGCCTCGGTGTATAATAGTTTTTCAGTTGGAAATTCATGCTCCTCTCTGGCCCTGCCACTGATATTGCAATCCTTGGATTCCTGTCACATTACTGAGTACCTTTATAATTTCATAATGTCCATATATCACTTGATAAATTAAAGATTTAAAAACATTGCTCTCATTCAGATAAAATGACTCTTAAAAACATTAATTAGAACACAAAATTTCACAAAGGATATTCATGAATTAACTTGAGTCACGCAGTTCAGTAAAAAGTAAAAATAAAACATATTTTGTAATGTGAATTCTTAATTACTTTCGCTTCTGAAACATCGACATCATTGGTGGTGGATCCGAGCTTCTGTGGCACTGTAATTTGCAGATGTGATGTTTCAGAGTCTGCAGTAACACAAACATGTGTGAGCATTCCAGGTTGTAGCATCCTTCATCTTCATTTATTTGCCCTTTTCTATCATGTCACTCTGAACTTCCATGTCCCAAAACACACACACACACACACACACACACACACACGCACTGTGTGACTCCAGGAAGAGGCCCCTCTCATGGGAGAGTATTGCCCTTCCACTGTCCAGAGACACCTGGGACTCACTGACCCCAACCCTGACTGGGTGAGGCAGTGCTGGTCTCAGGAGCCCATCCAGGCTCTCTAGGTCCCCACCGCCCCAGAAGCAGGGCGCGCTCTCCTGCCAGTGCAGAGTCAGGTAAGAGGGCCAACTGCCCCAGGCCTGATCTGAGCCCTCCAACCACCAGGCTCCGCAAGACCCTGAAACTAGGTGGCTCTGACAGCAGGACTGGGGACCCCCAGCCTGGCCCTGGGATCTGGAGGAAGAAGGGAGACACTGGCCTCCCCCAGGGACACTGTGCTGGGCGGCCTCCTATGGCGCAGGTTCCCCCACTTACCATGGTCTGCGAAGGTCAACCTGCCTAGGCCTGAGAGGATCAGCAAGAAAAACAGCATTGCGAGCCAGGTGACCCTCGCCACAGTGCAGGCAGTTGGTGGCATAACTGAAGCATCTCGCGCATGCGCAGGGGGCTGGGCTCTGGGCCAGGAGGATGGAGTATGAGACTGCTCGGCCCCGCCCACCACTGATGACCCCGCCCACAGGGCCAGCTGAGCATAGGAGCTCAGGGAAGGCTGTTTGCTGCCTGTGCTTTATTTCCCCAAGGCTGGCTGAAGTTTTAAAGGTCTTTGTGGGTCACATTCGGTTATAAAGCCACTTTCTCCTCTCGAAGCAGCTATTGGTGGTGAAGTTCTTGGCAAGATGAAGAGTTCATATCATAGCTTTCTGTACAAAGACTAAATTACTGCATTAAAGGAAAAAGACAGTAGAAATTCACAATATGTTTAGTAGCAGACAATTGCCTATTTTAATCAAATCTACTGCCCCATGTCTCAGATCTAAACAAGTGCAGACGTACCCATGAATATAAAGGTATATATATAAATTTTTAAATTGTAAGTTCATTTCTTAGAAAATCATTCGGTTAAACAAACTAAGTTTAAAAACTAAGTATGAAATGTGTGTATATATTCATTTTAATCCCCCAGTATGAAGTTACAATTAAAGTATTAGGCAGAAAAAAAAAATCACAAGTATGAAGTGATCCTATAAAAGCAACTCTATATTCTCATTATTTATTCCTTGTGTATAATTTGGTTTCTGCAGCTAAACAGACTAAATAAAAGTTAAAAGTAAGCTTTTCCCACCTATCAGTGTGGAGTTCACATGTTGTAAGGCATGGAATTAAATTGCAAAGAGCTTTCATTTGATGGCTTAATATACAGGTTAGTGACTTGCAAATTTTTAACTTTTGCAAGGATATCTATGCCAGACAGTTCTTAACTTGTTCTTCTATGGAATACATGTGCTTGCATTCCTTACATGCAATATTTATAAACACAATAAAGTGGTTGAGTTTTCCCAATATGTAAAATGAAATAAAATAAAACAATGAAAATATATTTTTCATACTTTTCTTAAATCATTTTAGCATGATTTATCAAAAAACCATATGCAAGTACCAAATACAGCATAAGAAAATGCTACTTCTAAATAGCTAGTTCTGTTTACAGTATTTCACTAACATAATCACAACCTAATTATTTAGTTTTGTTGTGATGCATGTTGTATAACATACTCACTTATTTAATTCTTTTATGTACTTTAAAAGTTAGCATTTGTATATTTTTGCAAAATTACGACCATTAATAGATTTGGTATATCAATATTAATTATGCTGCTCTTAAAATAAAATGCTTTTCTAATTGTCTAAAACCAGATCAACTTTTTTTAAAAAAAATATATTCCACCGATTTTTTCACAGAGAGGAAGGGAGAAAGATAGAGAGCTAGAAACGTCGATGAGAGAGAAACATCGATCAGCTGCCTCCTGCACACCCCCCCACCAGGGACGTGCCCGCAACCAACGCACATGCCCCTGACCGAAATCGAACCCGGGACCCCCCAGTCCGCAGACCAACACTCCACCACTGAGCCAAACCGGCTTTGGCCAGATCAAATTTTTAAAGTCTACTAAATGTCACTGAAGGCATGATGAGCATTAAAAGGTTGTTCATGGTTCTAAAACTTTATGTTGCTCAGTCAAGTAACCAAAAGGTGAAATATGTATTCATTATTTAAATTAATGACTTAATTTTCATGACTGGTAATAACTGCTCAGTTGTTTTTTTGTGTTTTTTTTTTTGTGTGTGTGTGTGTGTGTGTGTGTGTTTATTGATTTCAAAAAGGAAGGGACAGGGGAGAGAGAGATGGAAGCATCAATGATGATGGAGAATAATCAATTGGTTGCCTTCTGCATGCCCCCTACTGGGAATCAAGCTGGCAACCTCAGGCATGTGCCCTTGGCCGGAATTGTATCTGGGACCCTTCAGTTCACAGGCTGATGCTCTATCCACTGAGCCAAACCAGACGGGGCACTGCTCAGTTTTTAATATGCAAGACTTTTTGGCATTCAGATCATTTGTGTTTATATCAGCAATTATTTTTTACATGTCTACTACAAGCATGGAGCAATCAAGCTGGTATCAAAATATGTGTAACACTATCCCTATTCCCAAGTCCATCAGAGACTAACAGAAAACTAGATATGTACAAGAGATGCCACAGATAGAATTAAAAAGTCTTTGTAAGAGTGATGTTCAAAGTTTTCTGTGAGCACAACCAAGATAATTTAGTTTTTTATACAGATATCAAGTGAAGCTAAAAAGTAGCGGTGACATTTGTTCTGAGCTATATTTGGTTTTGTGGATGATTTGTACTGATGTTAATGCATTTTATAACTTTTTTCTTAAGTAATTTTAAAATTTTATAAAGATTTAAGTGTAAATGAATGATAGAGTTTTGTGTTAGAATGATACCTTGTAATAGTGTGAGGGGATTAAAATGAGGACGACTGGAAGCAATGCCTTCATTAAGGGAATTTTCCATAGGTTAGGCCAGTACTGTCTACATCCTCATGAATAAAGAGTGGGAGGGGGATAAATTAGTAGGATATCTGAGTTTTTTAGGAAGAAAAATAGGTTTGTTGAATTATTTGATATGGAAAAGGATGAAATTGCTAAGATGTTAAACAACTGGAATGAGAAGAGGTCACCAATGTTGTAGGATGAAGATTCCAACAGGGAGTGAGAGGTGATGAGTTCAGTTAAAAATATGTTCCATCATTGGTTGGGAGAAGACCATGGGAGGTGTAGCCTCGACAAAATTGAACAGATGCACTTCAGAAAGCAGCAGCTCATACTCTTCATCATTCATGCTCCTTATTCTAGGAGGTATCCAGAGTACATTCCTGGCTGCCACATGTCACTATATTTGCACACATTTATCTGCTTCCATGGTGTCCAACTTTTAGAAATGGCTATAGGCCTTGTCAGTACAGCAAGGGCACTTTTTCGACATCACCTCAAAGGTTAGTTTGGCATTCAACTTGGGAACTTGCAAACTGATTCCACAGGGACTTTTGAGGGATGGTACAGAGAGGAGGATTAGTCAAATCAATGACCACAATCCTGTCAAAGGAAGTATTAAAATGTCTTCCATCATGGGAACTATGGCAAGCTTATACCTTGGGAACTTGTCCTGACTTCTCATTGTACTTCTCAAGATGAAAGCAAGCTCTATATGCTTTCATTCGGTGATCCACATGAGAGTATATACTGCACCACCTGAGCTTCCACCTACTTCAGTAGGACTCTCCCTTTTCCAAGAAACTAAAAAAATAAATAAAATTTTAAAAAATTTTAAAAAAAATGACCTTGCCGAAACTGGTTTGGCTCAGTGGATAGAGCATCAGCCTGCGGACTGGAAGGTCCCAGGTTCGATTCTGGTCAAGGGCATGTACCTTGGTTGTGGGCATATCCTCAGGGGGGGTGGGGGGAAGGACAGGAGGCAGCTGATTGATGTTTCTCTCTCATCCTTGATGTTTCTAACTTTCTATCCCACTCCCTTCCTCTCTGTAAAAAAAAAAAAATCAATTAAATATATATTTTTAAAAAACAACCTTGCATATTACACTCAGGAACAGGTACAACAACCAAGAATTATTTTGGTGATCTGTGTCCAGTCCATCATGAGCCTACTAGGAATTTAGGCAGGCATATGAACTAGATAAAACATTGACCTGAAAACAAAAGAAGAAAAAGAAAAAAGCATTGATCTGGATACATGTACATGTAAGTGAGCAGCACTGAGAAGTATTTTGTATCAAGAGAATGACCAGCAGTATCAGAGAAATATCCTACTGAATCTGAATCTCTAGCGTTAGTGCTTCAGAATGAGTATTTTAAACCTCCAAAAAGAAAAAAGAAAAAGAAAACCTCCCCAGGTAGTAATGATGCACACAATTAGTTATGACAAGCTGGTGTTCAATGAAAACAGATGGAAGTCAAGGCTGAATAACACCATCATTTAAAGTCAAGTATATGGATGGTAACAAAGCAAACTGAGGAAGAATTCTCAGAGGCAGATACACAACTAAGATTCAGAAGAGATAGAAATGTTTCAGACATGAAAAAAAAAGTTCGCCAAAACCGGTTTGGCTCAGTGGTGGAGCATCGGTCTGCGGACTGAAAGGTCCCGGGTTTGATTCCAGTCAAGGGCATGTACATTGGTTGCGGGCACATCCCTGGTGAGGGGTGTGCAAGAGGCAGCTGGTTGATGTTTCTCTGTCATCGATGTTTCTAGCTCTCTATCCCTCTCTCTTCCTCTCTGTAAAAAAATCAATAAAATATATTTAAAAGTTCAAGTTTCAAATGAGGGATAATCAAATGTCAGCTAAGGGGGAAAAGGGCCTGAAAGGAATTACTGGAATTTAACACTGCAGAGGTAAGTGATTCTTTTGCCAAAATAATTTCAGAAAATTGCCAGAGATCAAAGCTTGTCTGCAGTTAAGCGATGAGAAAATGGCTTTACATTTTTTATTTCTGAAAGCTTACAGCTATTATTAAAGACTGGAGGCCTGGTGCATGAAATTTGTATGGAGGGAGGGGGGAGTTTAGGGGATTGTACAGGAGGGAGGAGGTTTGTCCCTCAGCCCAACCTGTACACTCTCCAATCTGGGACATCCCTCTCACAATTCAGGACTGCTGACTCCCAACTGTTCACCTGCCTGCCTGCCTGATTATTCCTAACCATTTCTGCCTGCCAGCCTGATCACCCCCTAACCAATCCCCTGCCAGCCTGATTGCCCCTAACTGCCCTTTCCTTCAGGCCTGGTCCCCCCAACTCCTCTCCCCTGCAGGCCTGGGTCCCCCTAACTGCCCTTCCTTTCATGCCCAGTCACCCCCAACTGCCCCCATCTGCCAGCCTGGAACTAACTGTTCTCCCCTGCAGGCTTGATCGCCCCCAACTGCCCTCCTTTACAGGTCTGGACCTTCCCAACTGCCCTCCCCTGCTGGCTTGATTGCCCACAACTGCTCTGCCTTATAGACCTGGTCTTTCTCAACTGCCCTCCCCTTCTGGCCACCTTATGGTGGCTATCTTGTGTCCACATTGGGGCAGCCATCTTGTGTGTTGGAGTGATGGTAAATTTGCATATTACTCTTTTATTAGATAGGATAGAGGCCTGGTGCATGGGTGGGGGCCAGCTGGTTTGCCCTGAAGGATGTCTTAGATTAGGGTGAGGGTTCCATTGGGGCATAGAGTGGCCTGGGTGAGGGGCCTGTGGTGATTTGCAGGTTGGCCATGCCCCCTGGCGACCCAAGTGAAGGTCCTGGTATCTTGGATTGATTTATCTCCTATAATTGAAACTCAGAGGCCAGGGCAGGACAGGGCAGTGGGAAGCTTGACTTCCTCCATCACCAGGGACAACACAAGCCTCGTGCTCTCTCCAGCTCCATGGCTGCTGCCATATTTATTGGGTTAATTTTAATACTCGCCCCTGATTGGCTGGTGGTGTGGCTTGTGGGCATAGTGGAGGTATGTTCAATTTGCATGTTTCTCTTTTATATAGGATTTCATATTGGACTATATCTGCCCAACTGCATAGATTTTAACTGGTACAGAATTACTAAGCCCTGTTTCTCAATTAGGAAGGACAATCTTCAGAGTATAATACAACTATATGATTTTCAAATTTTCACTGGCCTTTTACACAATTTATATGGGGTTATGAGTATCAGAAGTTTCCTCACTGTTTGCCAAATTTTTATTTTAACAGCCCTTCATTTTACAGCACTCATTTCCTCTTCAAATTTAAAAGCAAAACGGTTTTGGGGCAAGACATTTCTACTCCACGTTTGAATTGTTCTTTGCTTCTCTCTTCTTTCTACAATTTCAGCGTGGAAAGACAGTGAAAGTAGAAATGCTGCCTTAAAAGAAGTCACAATCTCACCCTGGCCTGGAGCCACTTGATATTTTACATAGTTTAGGCTTTCATAATTTGGTCATTTCAACAACTGATATCAATATTGGCCTATATGATGATCCTCTCTTCAGAGCTCCCAACTTATCAGTATTCAGAGAGCCCTAAAGTTAGGGTAAAGTTATTTATACTAGTAACAACAGACTGAGCAACCTTACCACTTTTGGTGGTGCAACAATAGTACTTCTTAGCAGCTTCTCTACTTTCCATAACAGAAAGCAGATCTGAAATATACCTTCTTTGCTTTCTACTGGCATGACTCATAAGGTTCTGCCAACCCAGGTCAAACATTCGAGGCAATTGTCCAGGATGATTTGTAGATTACAGCCATGATAGAAATGCACCTCAAATAAGGTATTTAAAGGAAAATAGAAAAAAGTGATACCCCCAAGGGCAGCTGTGTGCTCAATGATATTACACTACTATCTCTCTCAGGAGGGGTGGGGAAGGAGGCTTATGTGTTTATCAGTTTCAGTGAAGACTAATTTCAAACTGCCACTTGATATTTTTAAAGGCAGAAATGGAAAGAGACATGAGTTGCACACCATAACACAGTGACTTCACTATAAAGATTTAATAACCAATATGGGATCCATGCCAGAGTCCCCGATTAGTCAAGGCTAGAGTGTGGAGGCCTTGGTGATAGTATACCAAATATCCAAGGCCATCCTGCCCCTAGGATAAGATAATATAAGCAGCTGCAAGGCCACAACAATTTCACAATGTGCTGTGCCCTTCTATAACCCAAATGATTAATGCCACTCTTGGCAACTAGCCTTCTTTGTCTCTGGAGTGATATGCAGGTTACTGACCAGCTAGTTGGCTAGAGAGCAGCTAGGAAGGGAAAAGGCTAGAGCTGAGAGCTGGTACTGCGACAATGTAAGGATAAGAGCTCATAGAGAGCTTAGATATAGCTGCCATGTCAAACAGCTAGAGTGTGCTGGGCAGGAGGGAGAGGAGAAGCTGCTGAGCCAGAGAGTTCAGATACCGCTATGATGTAAGATGCTGAGTGTAGAGGCAGGTAATAATTGTAGGTTCAGAGACTGCTACTACTAGGTGAGAAAGATATGTATTTGCCAGATGATGTTTGGCTGCCTGATTGGGACACTGTTGTGAAGGACTATTTTGTCTTATGGAAAATAGAGAAATAGGCCTTCTTGGCTTCATGGGACAAGAATCCTAGTTTGCTTTCCCTGGATTCAGAGCCTCTTCAAGATTCAAGTTGGAGTAGACAGGATGAAAATTGATGCTGAAAATATATAAACACCAGACATAATTCAGGTGACTTAAGAGATGCAGATGATTTATTATTTCACAATTTAAACCTTCAGTGGTGACAACAGAGATGAGGAATAAATTATGTTTTATCTCTTCTTGGTTTAGGCCAGTTTCTGATGATTTATTTGGATTTATCCTCTCTTCAGGCCAAAGTTGTTAGAGTCTGTTGCTATAAGAGAAAACAAAACAAAATGCCGGAGTTGCTTCTTTTTTTCTGAGCTAACATATTTCTAACACAAGTAATTTAAAAAGTGTGAGTAATTGTAAAGGATCAAGGAAATGAAAACTAAATCCAGAAAGAAAAAAAAGGATTTTTTTTTTTTTACCTCAGCTGCAAATACTCTGAATTTTATAACAGAAGTGGTTTTATAAATAAGCTGTTCACTTATCCATGTTTAGTAGAATGATTCACACACTTTGATATACATACAATTTGCTGGATGAATTAAGAGAGGAGAGCCAAGGAAATATTTGGGACATTCCAAGGACTCTGGGTGAAGAAAATCTAATGTCATTAAAATCTAAAATCACTCTTTAAAATTATCAAAAATGAAACCAGTCAAGCATGGAATAAAGTCAAAATGTTTGTTGTAAACTTTAAATATAAAAGCAAAAATGACAAAGCATTTTAGGACCAAGACAAATTATATTTTTAAAAAGTTATTTATTAACAGTATGCTAGATCTAAATGCCCAACTTACATAACAGAAAAATCAACAGACAGACAGAAGGTAAAAATATAATTAGCATCCCTAATACTAAAGGGAGTCTCAAAATTGCCTCTAGTTCCATATGGTAACGTTTTGTACTTTTTATTTCTATGCCATACCCTTTATAGACATAGCTCATTACTAAATGACATAGTGAAAAAAATAACAAAGTCACTAGGACAATAAAAACATAGTAAAATTTTAAAATATGCTCTCTCAGAAAATATACCACTTACATGTCCAATGGATTAAAAGTAAATAATTTATGAAGTTACAACTGGATACATACAGATTGGTGGTGATCATTACAACTAGGTAATTTGGCAAGAGGTATAAAAAAACAATAAGAGTGTACATACTATATTTATGCTTTGATCAATCTCTCTTCTAGGGATTTAACCTGAGACTATAATCAGACAATTGCTCCAAAATGTATATTCATTTAAGGATATTATTTACAGGAAGTTTGTAATAATGAAAAACTGGAAGTACTGTAAATATTCATAATAACCAATTTTAAAACAAATTGTTTTTCATTTTTAAATTGAATACCAAATGTCAAAAAATAATTGTATAGGCCTAATTTTAAGATGGGAAATGTCCATAATGATCTCTAAGTTAAAAAAGTACTTTTATGTTTACTTAGAAAAACATTTAAAAGATATGCATCTATATTATTAATGAAAATTGTCTTTGTGTGTTGTTAAAATGTATGCTTAATTTATATATCTACCAAGGTAACTTTGATATTTTAATAAATATTTGATAATATTGTATATTAGCAATCAGAAATATAAAGTTTGAAAATAAAATTACCTATATTGTAATTCACTGTTAGTTTAGTTCTAAAACCAAAATTTACCTGGATAGCCCTACTTTCTGTTTATATGCATTTCAGAATCTTTATCTTAATTCTATGTACCCATGTATCCAAATATATTTTCATTGAGCTTATTTAAAATAGAATTATAGCTGAGACCGGTTTGGCTCAATGGATAGAGCGTCGGCCTGCGGACTGAAGGGTCCCGGGTTCGATTCCGGTCAAGGGCATGTACCTTGGTTGCGGGCACATCCCCAGTAGGGGGTGTGCAAGAGGCAGCTGATCGATGACTCTCTCTCATCGATGTTTCTGACTCTCTCTCTCCCTTCCTCTCTGTACAAAATCAATAAAATATATTTTAAAAAATAATAATAAATAAAAAATAAAATAAAATAAAATAGAATTATAATATTATAATAATATATTTTTTAAACTGTCAGGCATTGAAAAAGCTTTATGTGTAAGCACAGGAAGGGGAGAAGGCAAAGTAAAACCTGATAACTTCTCCCTACCTGCCTGCCCTACACCTCCATCCTTTCAATTCTTTGTCCTCAAAATATACAGAAACTTACATATACATAGATGTTGAAAAAGAAGAGGATATGTTTTAAAGTTAAAAGATTAAAAAGAAAGAGGTCTACTTAAATGGAAAAGGAAAGAAATATTTTAGACTAGAGGCCCAGTACATGAAAATTCAGCCCTCCCTGTGCCCTCTCATAGTCCAGGAGCCCTCAAGGGTGGGAGGCAACCCAGTGATCAGGAGAAGGCAACGCCCCATCACACCTCTGCTGCTGCCACTCCCAGCAGCATAAGCCTCTGTTGGCCCTAGTTACCTGAGCCTCGGGCAGCCCTGGACAGCTGGGCAGCTGACATCTGAGGCTTGCCTGTGCCTCAGGCATTGGCTGGGCAGCCACCATCCAAAGCTTACATGCCTCTTGGGCTGGCCCTGGGTGGGTGGGAGGCTGAAGGAACTAGGGGACTCCGGAGGCATGTGCACCTACCGCCCTGATGAGGCTGAAGGGACTGGGTGCCACCATCATGTGGATGTGGGTGCCATCATCTTTGAGAGCATGGAAGTCAATTAGCATATTCCCTTCTTATTGCCTGTGGGCACCACCATCTTTGTTATAATATGAGGGTCAATTAGCATATTACTTCTTTATTAGATAGGACTAGAGGTCCTTTGCATGATATTTGTGCAAGAATAGGCCTTTCTTCCCCTGGCTTTGCTCCTGACCACCCGAGAGCCTGCAAGTCCTTGCTCCTGGCCAGAGCACCATTCCTGTAGCTTCCTCCGCTGCTCCCCTACTCATAGCAGGTGTCCTGCCCCCCTGGTTGCTCTGTGTGTGAATATGCAAATTAACCTGCCATCAGTAGGTTAATTTGCATCCTCACTTTTGATTGGCTGTGGGTGTAGCAGAGGCACAGTCAATTTACATGTTTGTCTATTATTAGGTAAGATAATAAGACTCAAAATCCATGGGTAATTTCCTTTATCATAAGTCTCAAAAATAAATTTTAAATTAATTATAAAGTAAATATAAAATTTAAATATGAAATGTACGATAGTTTTAAAAATAAAATGTAAGTTACAAATATGATTGAAGCCAAATAGCTTCAGAAGATGCTAAACTGCTGAACTGCAATAAAAAGTATACTGTACCAATATATACTCCCACCTACAATGTGTAATTGTTTGATATTCTCACCAATCCTAAATGTCACCTTTTTTTAATGTGATCCATTCTTATAGGATGTAGGGGACCTTCATTTTTATTTTATCTTTTTCTGATCAGTACTGATGTTGATAATTTTTTCATGTTTTCATACCCTTTGATATAAAAACTATTAAGTATTAGTCAAAATTTCACTTAGATTTTCTATATATTTGTACATATTTCATTCTTATAACACATACTACATGTTTTTGCATGAAGTGACTCTTCAAATATTCTAACTACTAGGTTCTCCCACCTTTTGTTATTGTTTTATATGGATTCTTTATAGAATCTGAATATGAGTCTTCATTGGAAATATGTATTAAAAATGTGTTTTCCCACTTTGTGATTTCCCTTTTAAAGGAAGCCCTTTGGGAAACAAAACATCTTTAAAAAAATTTAAATGTTACTGTATTATGGTTCAAAACATACAATTCAAAACAATTAATCACACAGTTCTATACTAACCTTACAGATGGGGATAATTTGCTGTTAATGCTGTCTTCTTCTGACTCAGACCTATAAACATAATAAAACTTATTTTAAAGTGGAGAAAATGTTTAAATGTTAATTGAGTGACTATTTAAATTAATGTTTTCAAAGAAAGAGTGATTCAATAAATGAAATATATTTCTGTAACAAAATAAAAGAATATAAATCAAACAGATGCTGTCTAAATATTAGAACAAATGCCATCAGCCACCTTGCTTTGTTGATAAAATCCTCTTATTCTCATTTTACATTTATTCAAGAGTTTGAGAAGCCAGATTTGTACAGATAGCCCCTCCCTCTGATTCTATGTTATCCCTAACTCTTCAGGTCAAATTAAGACAAAAACCATTAAGTAGTAGTCAAAGATTTCAGTTAAATGTTCTATATATTTATACATATTTCATTCTTCCTCTCATATCACATACTTCATGCATGCTCTTCCTATTAATTTTTGGAATACAAAATGAGAGGTAAATACTTCTGTAGGAAAATACAGTGAATTATTAGCAAAGGCCTCAATAATGATGTTTAAATATTAGGGTAAGCCACACAGCTAGCAGAGCTGTGTAGTGGAAGTATTCTGAACCCATAAATATTTATGTAACTGATTACAGATAATGTGGTGGTGATTTCACTTACTAATTTGGTATATCTAAAGTTTACAATACATTGGGAAACCATTATTATCTTCCATTTATAGAGTTATGGAGATTAATTTTTAAATATGTCTTTACGGATATGTTTAGAGAGAGAGGAAGGGAGAAGAGTAGAGAGATGAAAACATTGGTGAGAGAGAAGTGTCAGTCCGCTGCCTCCTGCACATGCCTCATGGGGAGCCCGCAGCTGGGGATGTGCTCTACACAGGAATCAAACCAGTGACCTTTCGGTTTGTGGGCTGACACTCAAAGATGCTCTGATAAAGGTGTTTCTCACTGGTCTGAGACTGTATCTGAAAAATTAATTTTCTGAAAGCTCCCTTGCAATGCAGTGCCACCTATTCTCATCAAGCCAAGTGGTAAAAATGAATAAAACCAGAAAAAAATATGAAGAATACCAAGCTGGTTTTAAATATATCACTGGGCCTCTCCACATATTGCTTTACTTATAGTCTTAGATTATAACTGATGAAATCTGAATACAATTTTTTGGCTTATTTAATTAAATAAATACACACACACACACACACACACACACAGTGACCCAGTGCATGAAATTTGTGCACATTAAAAGGGAATTAATTAGAGGAAATATTTTAATATTGCTATTTGCCCTTTCTGTATAATAGAAGTGTCAGATATGAAAGAAAGTTAGTAAAATTTATATGAAAAATCTTCCTCCTGTCAGAGTCTGGGGTGTGCCATGGGAACCAGGGTCAAGTCCCTGCACACCCATATGAGCCTCAAAATCACACAATACCCAGACCGGGCTAGCCCCACTCCCATTGGGCTAGATCCAGACCCAGTTGGCCCCACCCCTGTCAAGTCCTGTCAGGTGGGGGGCACAGCCTGAGGTTCCCCCATCAAGCTCTGCTGGGGGGGTCATGGCCTGAGGTCCCCTGTCAAGCCCCTCCAGGCAGGGGGGCACAGCCTCAGGTCCCCTGCCCCAGTCCAGAGCCATGCAGCCTCAGGTCCTGCTGATTGCTCGTTAAAGCTTGTTAACTTGGCCTCTACTCTGGGCACAGCCATCTTGTGTTATGGAATCCCTGCCTCTGCTGTGGGTATAGCCATCTTGTGATGGCATGATGGTCAATTTTCATATTCGCTCTTTATTATATAGAACATATACATATACATATATATATATATATATATATATATATATATATATATATATATATATATATATATATATTGAAGGCCCAGTACATGAAATTCGTGCATTGGGGGTGTGGGTGGGTCCCTGAGACTGGCCTGCACCCTCTCCAATCTGGGATCTTTTGGGAGATGTCTGATTGTCGGCTTAGGCCCAATCCCCAGACATCCCTCTCGCAATCTGAGACCACTGACTCCTAACTGCTCATCTGCCTGCCTGCCTGATCGCCCATAACCACCTGTGCCTGTCTGATGATCCTTAACCTCTGACTGCCTGCCTGATGGCCTGTAACCACCTCTGCTTGCCTGATCACTCCTCCTGCTCCCCTGCCTGTCTGATTACCCCTAACTGCTCACCTGCTGGCCTGATCGCTCCTAATTGCCTCTGCCTCAGCCCCTGCACCCAGGACCCAGGCTTCCCTCCACTAGCCAGCCACAAGCACCTGGGACCCAGGCTGGCTTTGGCCAGGCCGGCCACAGGCATCTGGGACCAGGGACTGCTTTGCCTGAACCTGGCTTTGTCAGGAAGATCATCTGGAAGACATCCAGTCTAATTAGCATATTACCACTTTATTAGTATAGTTATATAGATATATAGATATATAGATATATAGATATATAGATATATACCTCTCACTTCCAGTTTCACCTCTGTAGCACAGATCTCTTATTTTATCCTGCTTTATTAAAACAGCAGCAATAATGATAAACATAGGTACAGAAATGTAGAAAATGAGTTGAATTCTGCGTTTTGGAGAAGCAGGTCTTTGGACCAATGAACTTTTATCTAGAAAAGAAAATGGCCATTTTAAATTATGTCAGAGATTTTTTTATTATTACCCAAATGAAAAGGTGGAGTGGCCTATCATTACCAACACTATTCCCAAACACTAAACATATATATATATATATATATAAATCAAAACCAACTAATGTACAAAATGAGTTGTTACTGGTGCTTTACTGATGATTTTCCATTTTCCATCTTCTACCATATTTTTGACTGAAGGTAATGTTCTTTCTGAAGCATATGTTTAATATTTGTAAATATTCTTCAAATATTTTCTGATACAGCTCTCCAAAATTCAAACATCCATATCACAGAGATTGTTGGAATCATATCTAAATGTGAGAATTAAACCTAGGCATTTAATTTCTCCTATACTACTACTATTTTTTCCAAAAATTAAAAATTAGTAGTCACTAAATAACTTATTTAACTAAATTGTTTAATCAAATATGCAGCAATAAGAAATTAAAATGGTTCTAGGATTATTTTATACAATCCATGGCTAAGCCTGGCATTAACCCATTTTTGACTACTAATGCTAATATCTACATTTTTCTCATCAGTTCTTGTTCATTCTCAATTGAGAATGTAGCTCCTCAGTTTCCATCTCTTTGTATATACTAGTCTCCTTTATGGGTTTATACTATGTCAAGTTTACTTTCTCCACAGTTTATTAGTCTGCTTACTTTTAATGAATACGGAAAACTATTCTCTCTTCTTTGCCAGTTGGAAAAGAGGAAAAGACAGGCAGAGGAGCCACTCTCCAGCTGCACTTATCTATGATCACTGAGTCTCAACAAATTCCTATTAGAACTGCCTTGGACCTTTTGCCTTTTTCTCATAAGATTTTCCAAGTGAGTGCAAGGGAGGAAGTTCAACACTTTCTGTTTGTCTGCTCTGCGCATGAGTTTGAAGTTCCCAGTATTATTAGGATAAAGATTACTACATTATATTCGTAACCAGAAAGGCACTAAACCAGATGGAAAGTTCAACCTCTCTGATTATGTCCTGCGGAATGATTCTCAGCTACTTGTATAATCTTTTGGGTAATCAAAGACACTAATTGAGTTATTTGAAAAGAATGTAATATATTGCCAGGTGGCTTCAAGCATGAGTAAAATTTCCAAGAACCAGAAAAATCATTCTTACTTTTTTCCTTTATACTACTGTCTAGTTTTAAAAAACTCTACTACTAACAGCCAAGAAAGAATATTTTCTATTAACTCTCCTTTTAGTTTGGTGTTCTTTATTTAATTGATAACTCTGAGTCTCCATTTTTCACAGGTAAAAAATAAATAAATAAATAAATAGTACCCAATAATCTGCCTCAAAGCTGCTTCTTTTACTTCATTCTAAAAATGCTTTGAGGAATCATTGCAGCACTTACCTATTCACATATTTATGAGAACATAATATATGTGTACACTTACACTGAGTGGCCAGATTATTATGTGAGAGAGCACCTGAGAAGGCACACAGGCATTTCTTTAATTATTGTCAGCTGAATCCAGTGACAGCAGTTTAGCCAAAAGACAGGAGTGTTTCAGCTTGACCTTCAGCTCAGATGCCAGGGGGTGGGTTTTATTATGTAAATCCAGCCAAGCACCAGGAATGAAAACGGCCTGGGCCCACCCTAGAATGCTTATGGTCTCCTTTGTCTTGACTTTAGTAAAACTTCTTGTTTTTCTCCTTGTATAAAATAAACACACTGTACTGGCTAGGAGTCACTGTTCCTGTCCCTGCTGTCCCTGTCCATGTAGAGGACAGTGGTCCCACCCGGCCCCACCTTTTCCCTTCTATCTCTGTATGTGTCTCTTTCTTTCATTTTCTCAGTCCCCAGTCAACCCTACTCAGGAACTGGACTGCTCTCCAGCAGCACTAGACATGGGAAAAAGAGAAATATTTACAATTATGATCTCTGAACACATAATAATCTGGCCACTCAGTATATGTCCTATATAATAAAAGGCTAATATGCAAATTGTCCCCTCGACCAACAGGCATGCTGGCCAACTGCCCATGTTCCCACTGCCTGGCCAGGCTGGCCGGACCCCGCCCAGGCACAAATTCATGCATCAGACCTCTAAAATAAATAAATAAATATATATATATATATACACACATATATACATACACACACACACACACACACACACACACACACACACTGAGCGGCCATATTATGCATCCAGAGATCATAATAATCTGGCCACTAGTGTATATGTTATATGTTAATATCATGTTTTTATTTTGGTCTGATATATAATCTGGTATAGCTTTGTGTTAGCTCTCTAAAAAGTGTGTCACTCTAGGTATGACTACTCCCTAGTATCTAAGCTACTGATTAGCCTGCCTGGAAGATTCATTATTTATTTGCCCCCAAAGAAAAGAGAGTAAAGAGGACATCCCTCTTCTGCAATCAGGTTGTTTTTGGTGGGCTCCCATACATTCTGGAACAGGGAGTATCACCCAATTGTACTCAGCCTCATCCAGTCCTTCTTGATCTCAAAACAATGTCAGGAAACCAAGGTTGGGGAAGTAAAAATTCTAAAGGGAAATTTCCAACTTTAAATTGGAACCCTTATAATTCAGAAGAAAGAAATAAAAGACATCCTAAAAGATTCTAGTGGCATTCATAAAACAATGAGTATTAGCACTATTTCAAACTAGGAATATATAAGATAATCAAATGGTGGGGAGGGTTTAAAAAGGGGGGAAATGGAAGTAAAATGGGAGATATCTGTAATACTATCAACAGTAAAAAATGTATTTTAAAAATAAATTGGGACATGGTGATTCCAAGATGGTGGTCGGGAGGATGGCAGTGAGGGTGAGTATGAGGGTGTGAAAGAGTGAAAGGGGAGTATGTGGATATGTGGTATGTGTGTCTGAGCTAGGAACAACCAGGCCTTGCAGGACTTTCGGGGGTTGGCAGACTGGGCTCACATAGCCGGGCAGCCTCTGCTATTGCCATAATCTCTCCTGGAGCACCAGCTGTGCCACAGAGGCTGCACCATCTTGAAAGTGAGAGCCAGCAGCTGCAACCTGCAACCACGTGCACCAGGAGAGCCAGCACCTGCAGCATGCAACTGTGGACCTTCAGGGAGGCAGCAGCCGCTGTCTGCTATCTCACTGGGAGACAGCAGCCACTGCACTCAACCATGCATGCACACACACACACACACACACACACACACACACACGGAACCAGGAGACAACACTAGCAACCATGTGCAGAACCTACAGCTACCACCTGTGATCACACATGCAAGGGGAGCCAGCAGCCACTGCCTGAGACCTCACAGGGAGCCACCAGCCACTGTATGAGACTGCACACATGCGTAGATAGCCAGAAGACACCACCTGCAACCATGTGGGGAGCCAGCACCCATTGCCTGAAATCACACAGGGAGCCAGCAGCTGCCCCACAACCTACAGGGAGCAGCCAGCGACCGTCTCTAACTGCCTGAGGACCAGCTGCCATCCCTTGACTCTGAGAGCAGCAGCAACTGTGCAACCCAACACCAGGCCCTCTACTGTAGCCTCAGGCCCTGCATGATTTGACACCTAAATCCTTCAGTGAAAGCAAAAGTGGAGAGACAAAAAGAACAACCCCCAAAGGAAAGGAAAGGAGGAATCTCCAGAAAGAGAACTAAAGGAAACAGAGGCATAGAATATGTCACAAAAATAATTCAGAATAAGGGTCATATAGTTCATAAAATAGATGAACGAGAAAATCAACCTATGTAAGAACCAAGAAGAAATAAAGAGTGATACAGATACAATAAAAAGCACTATGAAAGCTTTCAACAGTAGATTAGGAGCATGAAGGACCAAAAGACAGGGAAGCAAAACAAACCTAATCTGAACTGCAATAGGAGAAAAAAAATCAAAAGATGGGAGGAGAGCCTCAGGGAGCTTTGGGACAATATGAAACGAAGCAACATACATAAAATAGGGGTGCAAGAATGACAAGAAGAAGAGCAAGGGCTAGAACACCTACTCGAAGACATAATGTCAGAAAATGACCCTAGTCTGGGGAGCAATAAAGTAACACAAGCAGAGTCCCAAACCAGATTAACCCAAAAAGATCCACACCAAGACACATCGTAAGTACAGTGGCAAATGTTAACAGAAAGAGAACCATACAGGCTGCAAGAGAGACAGAGAAAGTGTCTACATTATTAAGTGATATCTCAACAGAAATATATCATGCCAGAAAGGAATGGAAGAAAGTATACAAAGTGATACAAAGTAAGGGATTGAATCCAAGAATACTCTATCCTGCAAGGCTATCATTCAAAATTGAAGGAGAAATCAGGAGCTTCACAGACAAAGAAAAGCAAAGGGTTTTTATCACTACCAAGCGAGCAATGCAAGAAATGCTAAAGGGACTAGTGTAAAAAGAAGAAGAAAAAATTAAAAATGGAGAAGAAGGAACACAGGCAAAACTAAAATAAAAATGGCTACAAATAAGTACCTATTAATAATAACTTTAAACATAAATGGATTAAATGCTCCAATCAAAAGACAGCAGGTGGCCGAATGGATAAGAAAACATGACCCGTGTATTTACTGTATTCAAGAGACCCACCTAAGAATAAGAGATGCACACAGACTGAAATTGAAGGGACAGAAAAATATATTTCAGGCAAATATAAATGAAAAAAAAGGCTGAGGTATCGATACTTATATCTGACAAAATAGATCTCAAAGTGAAGATCATAACAGAAATATGGAAGGCCACTTCATAATACTACAGGGATCAATAAAACATGAGGATATAATCCTGGTAAACATATATGCAGGAGCATTCAATTATACACACACACACACACACACACACACACACACACACACACACACACTTCTGGAAGGTATCAAGAGAGAGATCAACAGCAACATGATCATAGTAGGGGAATTTAATACCCCATTGACATTACTGGATAAGTCCTTTAGAGAAAAAAATCAGCAAAGAAACAACTATCCTAAATGAC